TTGCCTCCAGAAATGGACTTTATCTAGGCGATGCCGTGCCTTGATGAGGGTAGTGGCCTACAATTACTGCTCTAGGAATTAACTATGCCTGAACAAGACTATCTTCCAATCTAAGGTTGAATCGACTGGGTGGAGATTAGTAATAAATGCATAGGTCATCGGAAAAGTCCCACACATGGGATTTTGCTGACTTCTATCAAAGTTGAGCACTTTCTTCGCCCCAGTAGGATTGATTGTTTACATGGAATCACAATTCAATCGATACATATCCTTTTCAGGTGACTCGCAGTCGATCGGTATCCGACCTTGCCGGTTACTATCGCTACAGCGACAAGTACAAGCCGCAGTGGCACACAGTTTACCAGACAACACCATACAGATGGCGTCGTGACTGGGATCTGGTACGTGATTACGTCAGCTTTTCCGATACAGGCGTGACACCTTGAGAGCTAATCTACTGACGTCCATTAAAATGCAATTTTGGAATGAAGTCAGAATTCTCACCCATACTTGGGGGGGGGGGTTAGGAAATTTGGGTTGTGGCCACACGTAGGAATCAGCTGAGATCGCGACATTTCCCATCTAGCTTACTCCACTTACTTTGATAATTCTGCGGCTATTAAATAAGTCCTTGGTGCGACTATCGCGCATGCAACGATATAAAAAACGCAGCCTTCGCCACACCACTGCAACTCGGATCTTCTGACCTGTTCTCCAGTCGTTCGGCGGGAAAAAACTCTCAGATTTTTTCCTCAACCTCATCAACGTCCATCACTGATTCACACACTAGCTCTTTCGCACCGCTTCGTCCGCGAAGTCAAGCGTTGCCTCTCGCTCTACTAAAACTTTACGGAATTCTAGCCTTGACTGCTTGAATAGCGCTTCATATATTCTCAGCATGGGGAAGCACCTTCAGTCGAAAGGATAGACAGTTGACTGAATCTTAATCAGGATTTCCTCAAACGATCGCTACTACTACTTTTCACCACTCTACTACAGTACCTACAGTCCAATAAGACGATATTATTACAGGTATTGAATTTATGTCAGCAATTGTTTTTAAGATTACTTGGATTACTGAAAGACACATTCCGTGATTACAGTTCGCAGACTTCAGGATCTAGACAGGGACATGAATTGATAGATACCAAATGGCTTACTTGTGAAGGAAAAACGGACAGGATTGCCGGTCCCTTTCCCGCTCCCCCACGAACTGAATAAAATTTATTGGACGAGCAGGAGAGGAGAGACACTGCTGCATAGGAGAGACACCAGAGAAAGGAATGACAGAATAGGAAGACGAGCGGGCGACATGAAGTTCGCTTACACTAGCTCTCAACAGAAATAAACATGAAGCATCATTTTTGCGCTGATAGGCATGAAACCACATTTCGACTCGGCTGAGATGGGGTGTGGCCACTGACATTACTTTGGCAAATGAAGACGACGGCGCCCTCAGGGTCGAGGAGCGCGAATGGGACCTGATCAGATCATTTGTAGGAGAAAAGGGTGCCCTGGTATTCTACGAATCAGGTAATCGCGGAATGTGTTCTCAAACTAGTATTTAGGAGTTAACAATGTTAGACGTTCCCGAAATCACTCGCCTTACAGTGACTATCTACCTAATCCCTACTACTGGAATCCTTACACAAGCTACTGGACTCGTTACAAGGGGTATTGGTAGGTTTAGCGTGCGTAGTGGCATAGTTCTATCGCTTCTAGTACGAGTTGACCTACCCTTTACTAAGCCTTCTCTACCCTTGTAACAATAGTTGCTGTGTAACATGTTTGGCTTTCCTAGGAGTCTTACTTACGAAATAGGTGGTCAAGGGCTTCTCCTGCGCGGTGGCTCACTCATTGCCTAAGTCTTGCAAAGAGCGCAGCGCTGCGTGCAGCACAGTGACGCAGTGACACATCAGGACCTTTGGGAGTAACCACCATTCCCCGTTCTACGCTGCTTATTGTCAGTCACTCTTTTCTTTCGCAATCCTGCCACTCATATAGTTCCTCTACAATTTTTCGCGGCGCTCCCGGCGCTCAATCCGTTACCGCTCTCAACCTCCCACTTCCCCGAATCCCTCTGAGGTAGGATGTGGGGGAGAAATCGCAGAGAATGTGCGTAGCTACCACAGCACGTGCAGGCACGGGGGAAAATTTTTGCAAAGTCGCCCCCTCCCCCTCAATTTTTCACTTTGGCACGACCCTCCTTTCTCGTTCCCCGTTCCACTTGCTATTTTTGCTATCTTCCTAGAGTTTCCCCAACTCTCCAGCTATCCTTTCCAACCTGGAGTTACTTCGCAAATCCCTTTACTCCTTTATTTCACCCACAAAGAAGCGTTGTCAAGGTTGGGATGGGAAAGGGGGGGCAAAAAAAGTGTTGTTTTAAACCTTGTGGGGGGGGAAAGGGGGGGGGGGACATACGCACTTGAACTCTTGAAAAAATGAAAAGCCAGCAAACGGAATCATTGCTTAAGGGGGAACATATGGAGCGTCTCCTTCAGCGGACAAAACGACCCTCTCATTGAGGATCTCCTCACAAGTAAGACATGCGTGCGTAAACTACCTGTACCGGGCTCCGATGACAAACACTAGAGAACCAACTCCTCCTTACGACTGCCCTGACGGGGATCTATAGCGTGTATTGAGGGCAACATACCCTCGTCATCCGGCGCCCATTGATTAGGCGTCGTCAACGCCGGCCGCAGCGCGTGCCAGGAACGAACTATTTGCTTTTTCCAGGCTAATTTAGTCATTTTTTCCAACTTTTCACTGGCTACTTTTTCCAAGATTAGCAGCTCCTTATCTTCACAAGGTGGAAAAAATGACTAAATTAGCCTGGAAAAAGCAAATAGTTCCTGGCACGCGCTGCGGCCCGTTGACGACCGCCCTAATCATTATGCGCTGGATACCTGAGGTCTAGGGCTGTACTGCAGTTTCTCCGAGGAGTTTGTAGACGAGCCAAACTGGAAAGTCCTGACCCCTGCCACTATCTCGGGTCAACCACGCTATGCTGAAAGTTATACTTTTCAAAATAATTTGGAAAAGTTAAGGTATGACTACGACTATCCATACTACTACCGCCGTTATTGGAACTCTGCCTACTACAGATATCTCTACGACACCTACACACCCTACAGGTATCGCTCGACGATACGCCATACGTACGTGTGTCATTCATAGTAGTTTTAGGAAACAGTGATTTCCAACCTGGGTGTGGTAACCTCATACATAAACAGTTAACCCATGACATGTAGAGGCCTCGATTCAGAAGCGGCATGTTGTAGGGTACGGACGCCGCGCGAGTCGCGATGCGTCCACTTTATCTTATGAGATGACATAATTGAGTCCAATAATCCACTTTTCTGCTTACTATGAAATTCGTCTCCGCTTCGCCTGAGCGAGCCTAGATTACTTGGAAGTACAAAGTTGCGTATAAGGCGCTTAGTAAGAAATCGAGACGCTGTGGGCGGCTTGCATTAATGCTCCCGCACGAGTTCAGCGACACAGTCCACCTTTTTCGTAACGGGCCCAGGACCAGCGCCTGCTGTTCGTCAGGCCTCGACTCCGCCTATACAATATTTTCAACCCAGGCAATTATTTTTCATCTCAAGCACTTTTCTTAGCTGATTCAAGTTCCGTTACTTATGCGCAAAACGAAGGATGAGCTGGGAGGTATGTGGAGAAGGACCGAACCCCGCCGCATACTATTGCGGACTGTGCCTTCTGGAACTTGACGTAAGGCTTCTCTGGAATGCAATACAGCTGACCGTGCAGTGTCATAGCCTTCAATTAGTACCTATTGAATGTTGTTATTAAAATCGTTTTTTTTTCTTCGAAACAAAAAAATCTATTGATTTCAGATCCTACTTATTGGACTCGCTTTCGACATCTCTTGGGCGTGGGTTGAGCATGTATAAGGCGCAGGTCACGTAGCTAGGTATGAACTCTGACAAAAAACACGACAAAATAGGAAAAAACTAATAATCAGCAGTTCTCATCTTTGGGAAATATGGTTTTAAGGACGAAAACACTGAAACAAAAGGGATCAAATTTGATCAGAATTCAAACTCAGCCACATGTACCGTGCCTGCCTTTGCGTTGAGTTCACTAGAGTTTGGACAAGCGAGTGATCGCATCGCAAAAGCGCACACGATGATTTTTCGATTTATTTAGGTCGATATCTATGGTACTACTAATCCGTTTTCTCCGCTCTACCTGTACACTAAGTAACCAACAAAAGGTGTGTGAATCACGATTTTCCAATTAGTAGTACAGTCTCGTTCACTGCTGATGACTGGTCGTGTCAGGGGGGATTGGTTTGGCGCGGCGTCAACACTAATTGTTGCCGCTTGCTCGCTTCAATAGGAGAACGAGCAAGCGGTACGCCAAAGCCAGTCTTACTGTCACGCCCCATCATCCGCAGCGAACAAGACTGCTAATATACAGCCAATTCCAATCGCAATGAGACTTGTGCTCCTCGAACTCACTGAAGTGGCTCATCTCGCTGATTCGATTTTAGTGAAATTTCGGGTTCTTGGAGGGCTCCCTAACTTTCCCAAGTTAGAAAGTAGGAAATTGGAAGCGCTCAAAGGTGAGCAGACTGCAACATGCACTGCAAGTTGGCGCGCAAGATCGAGTAACTTTGCGATTGGATAGAAAGTAGAGCGTAGAAAAACGAAGTTGTAGCAGAATTCATAGGTACATTTCAGTTCTGATCGTATGGGCGGAGTCACTTTGACAAGCACACCTTCTTATGTGGGCCTTTTTACTAAAATGAGAAAGAGGATGAGCACACAAATAGGGAAAGCGCAATCCATCAGCCGCTGACACGCCCTGGCTGACTTTTTTGATAACGGCTGTGTGACACTAATCACTATCGACTCGTCCCCAGCCGCACCGCGACCGCTGGCGTGTCTGGCTGATTGCTCAGGCGTTCTAGTGACCAGCCTAAGCCTATACAATCAGACGGAATGTGCCTTCAAAAATTGGAGAATCGTATACTAAAAGACCCAGAAAACAGAAATTCATTCTAAAGCTTTGTGAATTCATAGAGTTTCATTCGACGCAGCAGCTGCATCTCCTCCTTCCCCCTTTATGCCGAACCAAACGTGATTCAAATCGTGGTCAGTTACGTCCCATATGGGTGGATGGGTGCTCTCGAGACATACCCCGCGCTCTACCAAATTGTAGGGGTCCTTCTTTGCACAAGTAACCCCTATTCTCTAGACTGTCCCTTTCGCGGCTTCACAATGAGCAACGAAGGTGCTATAGCCCTCTAAGTGGCAGTTCTAACGCCTCCCTAGTTGCCCCGCCTACCAGAACTCAAGGGATATTTTTATCCGGAATCAGCTTTTACACCTTGTTTTCGCTCTTTTTCCACTATTACGGGGTATAAGCATTGTATAACGCGAAGAAGCGATCAGTGAGCCAGAGGCAGCGTGACATTGGTTTGCCGGCACTGACCGAGCAGGTCCGCAAAACTCGTACAGCTCACTGCCAGGCGTCTTTGCTCAGGGTGTTCTCCAGGATTTTTCTGTCTACGCCACTACCCATAATGTACAATCGCGGGGTTTGTCTTCAATCTAGGTTCTATACTAGATCCTTTAGATGTCCCCTCTGGCGTTCTAGCGTCCGAAATAGCCTTTATATATTTCTCTTTTTTTTAAAGCCACCAATTAAACACCCCAGTAAAGCTCGCATTCGAAAATGCCACTAAAAATGAAAAGAAGAATTACTATAAATTTAGCCTGGTGAAAGTTTTAAAAAATGTTATGAAATACTTTGAAAAAATATTATGGCAGTGCAAATTGCTTGTTCTGTACCCACTGTTTCAGGCCTCATACCATACCGTACGCTTGACACCTACTGGCTAACACCTTCATATTGGGATAGACGTTTCAAGGACTGGCGAGAGCTGTACTCCACCACGAAGGATATCTATCTACCAACAACATTCGATAGAAAAACACGATCCTATTTCGCTACCTGGTCCACTTAATCACTAACACTGAGTGTAGTCGACTATCGATTCGACAACCATTCTGTTTATGCACAGAACCTATTGATTAATTGATTGATTGATTGCCAATAATTACGGCATGTATTTTAAAAAGTCGTCAATAGTATCGAATGAACAGCCATAATTATTGGAATGCCGACCCTAGCGATAACGCTTTTATCGCCGCTTGCACATTTAACCCGTCACTGTAAGTCGTCGTGTATCTGTCTCATTTCATACTGCTCTAGAAATGCATACTGCCATTTTACTAACAAGTACATATACGGGCGGAATGAAGATTGATTGCCGCTTTTGATGTCTTTGTTGAAAAAAACACAGACAAGCAGAAGAGGTGGTGGTCAGCATCGCGACTGTACCCTCCACCTTCAGTTGCCCCAGTTCTCACAATTCTCATACCTCTTCAAAGTGATAGGTATTTTGATCGATTGTCCCATAGTACTGTGCAGATCGATCCGTTGCAATGAGTGGATCAATATACGCCACGTTGAGAGCAGTCTGTAAAAAAAGTTAGAGGCGTTAGAGAGTAGAGTCTTTACAGTTGATGTCCATGCAATCAGTCGGGGTGGTTTTCCCACCATTGGTTGTTTTCTTCATCTGAAACGATCACCAATCGATCATCATTGGTAGGAAAGAGAGCCGGACGCGGGCTCGTTCTGCCCTCCCGACACCGCCCCGACTCATTGCAACGATATCAACTACCCCTTTATAGTAAAGTCCTCATCATTGCGGACCGGTGGGGCGTGTCAGCCAGTATGAGTGTGCACACTGTTGAAGCTCAGCCTTTTTGTTGAAACGCGTATGCGACAAAAAGTGGTAGAAAACGAGTAATACGAAGGATATAATACAGTAATGTCACTTGCCCGCTTCAACAACTGGTGCAGAACGACTTTGGCACCGCGCCAAACGCAGCCGCACTGACACGCCCCACCGGTCCGCAATGATGAGGACTGTAGCTGATAGAACAAAGCCTCGAAGTTTCTGCGTACATATGTACGCGCGATAAAATCGTGCCAATCGATAATGAGATTAAAGAAATTCCACATGAAGCCCTCAATGATCCCTGATGAAATGTGGAAAAGGGAATGCCGGAATACATTTGACAAACCCACTGAAATGTTAACCTTAGCCGAAAAAGCTCTAGAAGGGGCCCACTCCGGGCGTTCGAAATTTGGAACACTTCGTATCAACTATGTAAGCATCTTTCGAGTGTGCTCACCGGTATCCATAGCGGTCTCCATAAAGTAGTACTATTAGAGTTCGAATTGACGTCGGTTCACCGGCAAATGCCTAAAAAACCTTATTAGCAGTAAAGTGCAGGTTAAAAGTCTAGGTGCCATCCAAAAAGGATGCCGGTCCAATTCACGGGCTATCGCGACACTACCGTGCAGGGTCAACACAATCGTAATCACCGAACAGTCGGGGAGTGTCAGCAGCGCGCGGGCATTATAGCCGACAGCTCCTTCCTATCAGTCTAACGCCCAAAGACACGAAGATCGCCGAAAAACGATCTGGCGTTGCACCAAGAGCCCTTCCGCTGCCAACACTCTCCTACTGAACTCGGAGATAACGACTGCATCTGACACGAGCTACTGTCGATTAATGTCCACTCGCGTCGCGAACGGTAGCTTAAGGGACTGAATGCCCAAGAAAATGTCACTTATGTGGACAAATAGTTGAGTTGCTCGGATAGAAAGCCAAAAACTAAAAGTACAGTATGTTGAAACTTTACCGTAACAGCGAGTTCTTGCTCAACCCCTCGATTCTGCAGCAGCACTTTTGCGCTCGGATCCATACATCGCACGCTACCGATACGACGATCATCTGCAATGCTTGGGTGTAATCAATGAGATAGACCCATACTGAAGCTCCTTTCTCCAATGGGTTGAGGCTACAGCTCTTAGCTCGATTAGGATGCGCCTAGTTTTGCAAAACAAGTCTATTGAATGTCCCCTCTAACAAGAATGTAAGCTGTAAGGTTCAGATTCAAGCTGCAAAATCACCCTCTACCCCTATGTAAGGGTAAAGGGTCCCCCAAGGGATGGAAGCAACAGTCCGGCCTACTCCGGTGCTTACCTCATTGGCGCAGCCCATGTTTCTACCGCGTAGAAGAGGAACTCCCCTTGGATCGGATTTCTTGACCCGTACTAGGGCTGCATCTCACTTCCCTGCGTAAGTGTGTGGAAGCAAGGGCGTCTAGCATCCACACTTTGAATCCGGAAAGAGTACAGTCTTGCTTACTGCGCCTAATGGGACGTGCGCGGAGATAAGGGTTTGGCGCAGCACCAGTCCTTTGTTTCTTTATTTGGCACTGTTTACCCTTT